AATGGATGGATGGACTTCATTGAAGGCACATTACCTTTTCTTTTCAGTACTTTTCTACTGGTGTTCAGTGGCGCCACACACGGGGTGTTTAAACACAGAAATGTGGCTGAACAACGTGTGTAGTCTGAAGTGCGTATTTATTTTATATGTCCATGAAGCGAAATCATAAAAGTCTCGTGATAATATTTATATTTGTAAGTCCCCACTCCTGTCTTTCAATAACTTAGCATGCAATCATGCTGCCTCTGAAATTTCATGAAGTCCCAATAAACCACGCCAGTGTGACACACAACCAGAACCGTGACACAAAAACACCTAAATTAGGCTTCAAGCTATGTCGAATTTTCTTATTGAGTAAGGTGATGTAGAACAGCTGTTCATTTAGATGAGTGGAAAGAAAGAATTTTTACAGGTATGAATTCAAATAAAAGTATAGTCCATTAAAAGCTTAACGTTTCTTCTAACAAGTGGCCTACACAGACTACAAGCCAGGACGAGACAGCCTCAAGTGCATGAAATGTTGTCAAGCTGTAAAGACCTTATAAGGGCCACACTCTAAGCCCCTCTGAAAAACCTACTCACAAAGATCATGCCAAGCTGCGATTGCCGCAGACTTTTTCCTCTTATGGAAAACCCCTTTGATGTTTCTTTTCATTTTATTTACTGGTGGCAGCGCAGATTTTCCGGTTATAAAAAGGGGAAACACCATAACTATTATGAAACTCTGTGTGCTATGGGCCATTGGTTTCAGCTGACCCAATCAGGCGTCAGAGCTGCAGTGATGTCAGGATCCACCGCTGTAGCAACATGGAACATTCATAAAAGGGTTTGGCTGATGTGCAGCCCCAATGGCGAACTTCTTCAAAGTGCAGAAAGTATGTGTCACTGCAACACTGGACCGTCCAATATTACAGTCACTCTGCCATAAGTGTGGCATTTCTGTAATGAAAGAGAACTATTGAATTTTGTTTAAACAAGCCTATTGGGGAATCGGCATGCTATGAAAAAAACATCTATTAGGGAGGATTATGCTTGCTATTTCTGCAAAGTGACCTACAATTTTCTTACTGCTACAACTCTTTTAGGCCCATAAAACTTTATAGTATGTTTGAATGTAAGTATTTTTCTACAAGATATTTCATAATTCTTTGGCTATTCGTTGGGTAAATGAGAGATGTAAGATGTGTGTAGGTTGTCTTTGACCCTGCACCTAAAAGCATACATTTGTAATTTGAATATGACCTCAAATTACGGAATTTAAGTTGTCTGTGAGTGTAAAGATGACCTTGGTAACACATGTGTAACTAAATACTTCACCACCTAGCATTTTTCTGGAATTTCTGGCCTTTTCCCATATCCGTCTTGAACAAACGGAACTAAATTAATCTGGTACACAATAACAAGGGGTCATCTCTTTAGAACACATGCATGACTACTTCTTATTGAATAACTAGTTCTGTATTTCGATCATGTGAAGATATTTTATTTGCAAAAGAAGGTTTTGTTCAAAAGTCATGTGAAGTGAGCCTGAAGCTCACCATATATGTTTAAGTAGTCAGCTGTCTATATTTTGCAAAGATAAAAACATGCTTGTCACAATTTTCAACTAAACAACCTCCTTACAACTTAACCTATTAATCAAGAATGTCTAACAAAAAGCTGCAGCTGGCCCTTCTTTGCTGATGTTACTGATAACCTCAAGTTTGTTATTTGTTACAAAAGGCAGAGGCAAAAAATGCTGATTTTGTAGGCTTAACAGCCAGTCTGATGGCAACATATAACCAGTTCTGTTGATTTTGGCTAATGTTTCAAGGTCATATGTGAGAAAATGTCCTATCGTACTGCTCACATCCATCAGTATTGGGACCATCATATGAAGTGGATCAGACACAATTAAATGCTGAAAACAAAAGTGAACACTGGTACTAGGATTGGTATTTGGAGGGAGGGCGCTGCACTTCCATCAAGTGTGTGAACTTCATTAAAACCTCTCCTCAACTGAAGGGTCTATGCTGCTTTACTAATACACATTTTTGCAAAGAATGAAATCTTGCCTTGTGAAGTTATTGCTTTTAAAACCTCCTACCATCAATGAAAATCCCACATGTGCTATTGCTTTTGTCAAGTCTAACATGATGCAGTAGCCAATTTTTTAATACATGAGCCAAGTCAACTCATTACCATTCAATACTAAATTACAGTCAAGCCTTGAAACAGACAAATCCTGGAGATGAAAAACCAACACTGATAAATACCAGGCCTCCAACACCATCTGCCAAACAGTCCATTAAAAATATTTAAAACTCTCGGA